ATGCAACATATTTCTTTTCCTCCCTGTGTTTTTTGGCTCTGTTTTATATCATAATTTGCCTTAGCACAGAACCTTGCAAGTAGAGATTCAGTAAATGTAGACTATTTTATAGTATTTATTTTTTCATTTGCATAAATTAAGTTGAAAAGTCTACGTATATGAGTTAAATGCATTACTTTTATGTGCACTTGAAAATAAAAATGAGACTTTATATTAGAAAAGAATGTGATTAGGATAAATGGATTTTTATTTTTCTTCCTTTGAAGAGATATTCTGCATTATAAGTTGTGGAGAAGCAAAATATATTCAGTCCTTGGACATTTTCTTTACAATTATTTCCTGTATGATTGTATCTAGTCTCATGCATTTAAATACTACATATAAACAAATCAGACCTCTCCCTTAATCCTCAGACTTGTTCAGCCAGTTACTTGCTTCCTCAACATTACCATTTAATTAGTTAACAAACATTTTAAACTTAACATGTCCAAAACAAAAGTTTTGATTTTCTCCTTGAAACTGTTTCTGCTGTAGTATTCCTTACTTTGGTGAGTGGCCATATTATCCTTCCATTTGATCAAACCAAAAATTATTTCAGTAATTTGTAAATTCCCTCTCTTGACTCTACATTTAAACCATTGAGAATTTCAGTCAGCTCTACTTCTCTCCACCTTCTACAAGTATGATCTAGATGACCACAATCATCTTTCCCCTCCTAACTTGCTTCTTTGCTTCTAACCTTGACCTCCTATAAGTCTATCCTGCAGCCAAGTGATTTTTTTTTTTTTTTGAGACAGAGTCTCCCTCTGTCGTCCAGGCTAGAGTGCAATGGCGTGATCTCAGCTCATTGCCAACTCAGCCTCCTGCTGCCTCCTGGGTTCCAGTGATTCTCCCTGCCTCAGCCTCCCAAGTAGCTGGGATTATAGGCATCGGTCACCACACCCGGCTAGTTTTTGTGTTTTCAGTAGAGACAGGGTTTTGCCATATTGGCCAGGCTGGTCTCAAACTCCTGACCTCAGGTGGTCCACTAGTCTCAGCCTCCCAAAGTCCTGGGATGACAGGCGTGAGCCACTGTCCCCAGCCACAAGTGATTCTTTTAAAATTTAAGGTAGATCGTGCCTCTCCTCTGATGAGAACCTCCCAAAGTTCTTACCTTGCCTAAAGGGCTTATGTGAAATGTAGACTGCTCCCTCTCTCCACCCCGATTGCTAGGTCCTCATTTCCTACCACTACTTCCCTCCCCTATTTTGCTCCAGCTACAGTAATCTACTTGCTTCTCTTTACATGCCTAGCTGACTCCATATCATGGGCTGTGTACTTGATTACCTCAAACGGAAATGCTCTCCCCTTTACTCACTAATGTTTCTGGTCAGATCACCACATTTTACTTCTCAGAGAAGCTCTTCTTGACCATACTGTGTAAAGTAATGAAGCCTGACTACATCACTATTTCTCCCCTTATCTTGCAGGGTTTTTTTTTTTTTCATACCCATTACCATTATATGACATGTTTGCTTTTTTATGTATCTCTTTCCCAACTAGAATGCCAGCTCTGTGAAACCAGGGATTCTTTATTGTTCACAGTTATGTCCTTGGAACCTAAGGCAGGCAGTGCTTATACATAGTGGCCATTTAATTAATATTTATCAAATAAGTTGGTGAACCTTAATACTTACATGGAGAATGTGATTTCATTTATGTTATAATAATCGAATCCATAGAATAATGAGGAACCTTCAAATGGAGTCTGCTTTGTTTAAATCTTTATATCATATTTTCAACATTCAACACGGATTACAATTGTGTTTCATAGTTAGGTTAATGCTCATACAATACTGTTAGTGTCAAAATGTGGGGCCATATTACTATTTTAAAGATTCTTTTTATGGGAATAATTACTTTTTTGTTCTTTTGACATAGACATCTGACCCTCAATTACATTAACAAACCTTATACACATGAATGGAAAGAAGAATAGCCCCTTTTGAATCCATGCTAAGACTTTATCAATATGAAGTGCTTCCCACAGAGTTCTGCTGAAAGAACTGAACTTCCATCATAATGAAATTGCAAATTCATTTGTATATGCTCCTCTTATATTTGAAAGCTACTTTTTGATGTTTTGGTCTGCAATTAAATTTATTGTTTAAGGTCACAAATATACAATTCTGACTAGAACAAGTTGTCAGAATTCTTTATTCAGCATAGCACAAAGATAAATGGCTGTCTTTTAACAATAACATATGAAAGCCAAAATTTGTTCCCAGATATACATAATCTTTTAATGCTTTCTGTTTTCCAGTCAATAGACCCCTTAACCTGCTTCCTCACCATCTTACCTATCTAGATTATGGGTTTTTAAATTACGGCAAAACACTTTCATCAGATGGAAAAAGATAAGTTTAAACATTTTAATGCTATAATTTTCCCATGCACATTTTATCATTCCATCTGAATTATTTTGCCTTTACCCCTATTCTGTGTAAGGTAGATAATTATGTAGTATGTTAGCTAAATTCTGTGGTTACATTTCTCACTGTTAACATGACCAGGAAGTAGATCGTGTTGCTTAATTGAAATTGAGTTTTCAAGTGTTTTTTCTTCTTTAAAAAAAAAAAAAAAGGATACATGTGCAGAACATGCAGGTTTGTTACATACGTACATGTGTGCCATGGTGGTTTGCTGCACCTATTGACCAGTCCTCCAACTTCCCTCCCCTCACTCCCCACACCCCAATAGGCCTTGGTTTGTGGTGTTTCCCTCTCTGTGTCTATGTGTTTTCAATGTTCACCTCCTACTTATGAGTGAGAACACGTAGTATTTGGTTTTCTCTTCCTGTGTTAGTTTGCTGAGGATGAGGGCTTCCAGCTTCATCCATGTCCTTGTAAAGGACATGATCTCATTTCTTTTTATGGCTGCAGAGTATTCCATGGTGTATATGTACCACATTTTCTTTATCCATTTGATCATTGATGGGCATTTGGGTTGGTTCCACGTCTTTGCTATTATCAATAGTGCTGCAGTAAACATATGTGTGCATCTATCTTTATAGTAGAATGGTTTGTATTCCTTTGGGTATATACCCAGTAATGGGATTTTTGCATCAAATGTTATTTCTGGTTCCAGATCCTTGAGGAATCGCTATACTGTCTTCCACAATGGTTGAACTAATTTACATTCCCACCAACAGTGCAAAAGCATTCATACTTCTCCACAGCCTCACCAGCATCTATTGTTCCATGACTTTTTAATAATCGCCATTCTTACTGGCATGAAATGGTATCTCATTGTGGTTTTGATTTGCATTTCTCTGATGATCATTGATGTTGAGCTTTTTTTCATATGTTTGTTGGCTGTGTAAATGTCTTCTTTTGAGAAGTGTCTGTTCATATCCTTTGCCCACTTTTTGATGGGGTTGTTTTAAAACATTTCTGTGCGTGTGGATTAACTTATTTTCTCAGATTCTATACTGCATCTAATACAAATGTATATGATTTTGATTAAAATAGATTTCTTAAATTTTTATTTCCTTTGTGGTCTTTCATACAGAAGACATAGAGGAACAACTGCCCTATAATATTTGAGGCCTTACTCTTTTTTTTTGAGACAGAGTTTCGCTCTTATTGCCCAGGCTGGAGAGAAATGGCGCAATCTTGACTCATTGCAACCTCTGCCTCGTGGGTTCAAGCGATTCTCCTGCCTCAGCCTCCCGAGTTGCTGGGATTACAGGCCTGTGCCACCACGCCCGGCTAATTTTGCATTTTTAGTAGAGACGGGGTTTCTCCATGTTGGTCAGGCTGCTCTTGAACTCCTGGTCTTAGGTGATCCACCGGCCTCGGCCTCCTAAAGTGCTGGGATTAGAGGTGTGAGCCACTGCGCCTGGCCTAGGCCTTATTCTTTATCTAAGAATATCTAGTGTCTTTATAGATTTATTCAAGGGATTTTGATAATAAATAATCAAAAGCCCTTTGTTTAAGGTGATCATAGCGATAAAGAAGAACAAAGACATTGAATGACAATAGCAGGATGTTGTAAGGCCTGCATAGTAATGTCCCCATTTTAGGATCTTGTTTAAATATTTTTTTGCAAATCTGAGAATCTTTTTTTTTTTTTTTAACTACCATGCAATTTGAATCTTCCCCAACTGAAGAGAGTAGACTGTTTCAGGAGGACGTATAAGAAAAAAACATAACTTTTCAAGTCAGACAATCCCCTCCAGCCCCCAAATTCTGGAATTCTGACTGCTATTACTTTTGTGACCTAGGTTACTGCATTCTTCGAGCCTCTGTGTAGCAATGCAATAGACAAAAATCTCTATTCATACAGTTTAGTGATACGATTAAATGAGACAACACATATAAAGAGCTGAAAACAGTGCCCAGCTATATAGTAAGCACTCAATAAATATCATTTGGAGTCCTCTCTTTCTGCTCTCCCCTCACCCCAACTCTGTTCTTCATGCTCTGTGATCTGTTCTAATTGGGCTTAATCAGAAATTAAAACTGTTGAACTAAACTTGAAACCTTTCTGTGCCTGCCAACTCTGTATTAAGAATACTGTGCATTCTCTGATGTAATAGGTAGGACAAAGAGAGAACCTTGAATTGATCTAGATCTAAACACCCACCAGGTGTATGTGGTCTTTTTCTTCTCAGCAAATTGGTCCCCCAGGGATTTGTAGCACCTGCTCTACTCCCAGCCCCCATTTGAAGTCCAGATGGAGACCTTAGATTTACTTAAGTCTCTCTTCAACCTACCTATTTGAGAGCTGAGCTCTAAGTAATGTTAATGTGATATAGGAAGGCATTATCATATTAATCATTTTGTGTAAGGTGACATACTTCATTGCTTGTTGCTCTTTTGACCATTCATAATGTTCAGATTTTTGCCTTAAGAGTTTCATCTTTTAAAACATTTATTTTCGGGAAAAGATTTAATAGTAATGTAATATACTGTTTATACCTCAAAATATTTTATGGTTGTAAATTCTTATTGTTTTAGGTGCAAAGATGGTTTGAAAGGATTTACATTTTCTGCACTTAGGTAAGTAACATTTATTTTTATGTTGAGAGAGAGTTTTCAAGTTAACTTAAAACATTATACATAATTACAATAAATATTTATTGACTAAACATTTAAACTGAAAATAATTTTAGAATTCACAAAAGTACTTCCAAACCTGCGGATATATAGCTCATTGAAAGAGTAATTTGTCAGATTTTTCCCTCTAAAAATTAAACAACTACTTCTTTTGGGCCTATTGTGTGCTTTCTGTTGCGGGGTGTTTGAAAAGAAATACAAGAACTCACTTCAGGGAGCTTGGAAAGACAGAGCTGCTCAAGAACAATTACTGAAAAGTTAAGTATTTAATTGTGTGGTACTAGATTATTTGCTTTAGGGCAAGATTCACACACAGTCAAACACAAATTTGATTTTAAGTATCACTAGAGTCTTTTCACCGCATAGCCCATCTTTTAGCATAGCAACTGGTACATGGTATATACTGTAGAAATGTTGGTTAGCATTAGCATTATATTTTATAGTTCACCAAGAATTTTCTCATAGATTAGAAAATTAAATTTTTGCAACAGTTCTGTGAAAGGTAACATGATGAGAAAACTGAGGCTTAGAATATTTGTCTAATTTAACCTCACACAAGTTAACTGTATATACTGACTCCATACCCAGTGTTTGTCTAGTTTATATCATAAATGTTGCCTGTTTTATAATCCAAAGGACGCATAGTAGATGCTTGGTGAAGATTAGTAGTATGGTTTTTACTGCAAGTATTGGAGGGAAAAATTAGGGAAAGCTTCAGTACTAGCAAAAGTTTTTACGTGATTGTCTCAAGGTTATTTTGAGGATCAAATGAGTTAATATGTGAAAAATATTTCAAACAGTGGCTGGCATGTAGTAAATACTCAAGAAATGTTGACTATTATTTTTGTTATATTGTCATAGATGATGTGCCTTAAACTGTACTTTAAGGATAGCTTTCAATAACTACAAGGAAGAGGAAGTGCACTCTGGGTGGAAGTGAATAATAGTAGCAAGAGAGTGAAAATTGTAAACACGAAGTGTGAGGTAACAGTGAGAAAATGGACTTAATTGGTAGGAAAAGTTTATATTAGGAAATATAAAATATTTTTTGGTATGTAGAGTAGGGCCAGATTATGGAAGACCTGGGGGACGAAAAAAAAAGACTAATTTGGATTTGATAAGGTCAGCAGTAGGGAGCTACTAACATTTTTTGAGCAGAGTGGTTTACAGTGTTTCAGAAAGATTGGTCTGGCTGCAGTATTTGGGACATCAAAAAAGAGAGAACCAGAAGGTGGAAAGACAATAAGGACTAGAATTTGGGTGACGGTAGGAGGATTAAAGAGAAGCAGAAAAAGTTAAGACTTGCAATGAATGAAAATGAAGACTGATATTTTCCTTTTTTTCCCCTCCACCCTGCAATCCCAGCCAAGTATTGGAAACCAAAGTGCCTGAAAGAAGGTGCTGTTAACAGAAAATCACATGGCATGCAAGGAAACTGGTTTGGGAGGGAACAAATGGAGTCCGCTGTATGATTAAGGATATCTTTGGTTGTGAGAACTCTGTGGGAACAATAACTTTCTAAGTCATAATACACCACACTAATTTCCTTACTGTTACTTTTTGGTAAAAGATCATGATATTTATTAGAAAATAAAGTTTTTGTTATTGTTGCATTGGCTAGAAAGCATTTGGTATTAAGTTTAAAGTTGATAACAAAAACAAAAGTTAGGTTTTCAAAAGAGAAGGAAAAACTTAGTCTTGTTTTCCTACATCTCCTTAGACTCCCAGAATTCTTACAAAAACTTAAAATGTGTCAGATGGTTTTGTGTCTTTTCTTCAAATCCACTTTTAACAGAGGGCTAGTTTGGACTATTTGCACTTAATTTTTCATTGTATTATAGAAAAATATTCTAGAAAAATGTTTGTTAATTCTTGCTAATATTCTTGTTGCTAAAGCAAGAAAACTGTTAAATATTGTGAATTGTCATATGTTTATTTGTGCATCTCCTTCCACTAAGAAAATTCTGTTTCATTTTAATTCTGTTTCATAGTCAATCTGCAGTGTGGTGAATTTGGATTCAAGAAATGTGGCTATTTCTTGAATTTATATGGTGAATATGGACTCACTCCATTGCAGATGAATTAATCTCACACTTATAAAGTTGATTCTCAGAAGAATGTTACTAAAAGCCAAACATATTTTTTATTGTTAAGTTTCATTGTAAAAAAATAATGTGTGTGCTTCTTGTAGGCTTTCAAAAAGGTGTTATCTGACATGTCTTTCCTGCTACCTCTTTGCAGTCCTGGCGGTTGTGATTTTTATTGTAGACATATGCTGTAAATTTATAGCATGTCAAAAGTGCAAAATTTAATATTAATTACAAAGGGAAGGGGAAAGGAAAATACTTTTTGTAGCACAATTTAATATGACTTCCTGACAATATTAAACTTTGGTGAGGAAAAGATACACAGAGCTTGACACATTTGAGAATGGTGAGATTTAAATGAATACAATCATAAAATGGCATAAGGAAGTGCTTATCTCATACAGATCATAATTGCTGTATCATGAAAACATACATTGTTCACTCAGAGGAAAACTGTCCTTTATCCACAAAGAACAAATATTTACACAGTACTCCAGTTTAATGTGTCCTAATTAGACAAGGCTAAAAAGCTTTAAAATGCTAAACTTTACTTCAGGCTGGGCACCGTGGCTAACGCCTATAATCCCAGCACTTTGGGAGGCCAAGGTGGGCAATCACTTGAGGTCAGGAGTTAGAGACCAGCCTGACCAACATGGCGAAACCCCGTCTCTATTAAAAATACAAAAATCAGCTGTGTGTGGTGGTGGGCACCTGTAATTCCAGATGCTTGGGAGGCTGAGGCAGGAGAATTGCTTGAACCTAGGAGGCAGAGGTTGCAATGAACTTTGATTATGCCACTGCAATACAGCCTGGGTGACAGAGTGAGACTCTGTCTCAAACAAACAAACAAAAACTCAGTTTAGCACCTTTTAAAAAATCACTTGTATTAGTCTGTTCTCACACTGCTATAAAGATACTACTCGGGACTGGTTAATGTATAAACAAAAGAGGTTTAATTGACTCACAGTTCTGTATGACTAGGGAGGCCTCAGGAAACTTACAGTCATGGCAGAAGGCCAAGAAGAAGCAGGCTTCTTCTTCACAAGGCGGCAGGAGAGGAAGAGAGCTAGAGTGAGGGAGTGCCACACTTTAAAACCATCAGCTCTCCTGAGAACTAATTCATTATCACGAGGACAGCATGGGGGGAACTGCCCCCATGATCCAGTCACCCCCACCATGTCCCTCCCTCAACAGGTGAGGATCACAACTCAAGATGAGATTTGGGTAAGAACACAGAGCCAAACCATATCAGTACTCCTCAACAAGAATGAGACAATACAGGAGCTACAGAGTTAACATTCACTCATGGATATACTTAGTATACATTTATTCTGCCCCAGGTCTTGTACTAAGTGTTGAGAATACACTGGGGAATAAGCCAGATACAGTCTCTGTCCTCAGAGAGCTTATGGTCTAGTGGGAAAGACAGCACTAATTATAACTGTGTCAAATGTTGCAAAAGAGAAGTGTAGGTTATCTCAGAAATATGTTTTAGGCAAACCTAACGTAGCATCTTTCCCCAAGCTGTGGATAGGAGTAAATGGAGAGAAGAAAGCAGGAAGTTTTCACAAAATTACTTATAGACTAGAAAAACCGAAATGTAATAATAGAAGTTAAGTGTTCTATAATTTCAAATTATTAATACTTTTATTTTACTGTGGGAGTGGGTGGGAAGGAGCGAGTGGAAGGAGCATTTAAGATGGATTTTAAAAGACAAATAAGATCTTTAGAAAAGATGTAGGGAAGAATGATCCAGATAAGAAGAGCAATACAGACACATGGTTTATTTGGATAATGTCAAGTAGTTCATTTAATTGTAATATAATAATAGCTCCTATAGTGAGCACTCACTCTGCACAGGCCTCACAGTATCTTAAATCAGATACTCATTTAAGCTTGAAGTTTGTATTTAATTCAGTAGACCATAAGCCTGTGAAGTTCCTTGAGGATATGTGTAGTCAGTTCAGATGTGTACTTTGGGAAGCTTCCTCTGGAAATTCTATGTGGGATGATTTGAAAAGTATCTGCGTATGTAGATAACAGTAGAAGTCAAGAGAATAGTGTCAAGGACACAACCTCAGGAGAAAAGTCAGTGTGAGACTCTGAAGGTGTGCTAGCCTTATTCATCATAGTTTAAAACATAGTTAGAAACATTTGTAGCTTAGTGATGAAGAAGCCAGACTTTAGGCTAGACAATTCTGGGTTCAAATAATTACTGATAATTTATTGGTTGTGGACCAGATACTTAACCATGCCAACTCTCATGGGAATTGTGACACCTATAGTGTTGTGAGGATTACATGAATGAATTAGTATTTGTAAAAGGCTCAGTTGGCACTGTGTCTGTCATATAAGATATGCTCAGAAAATGCTAGCTATTACTATATTCATTCATTCAATATGTATTACGTATTTACCATGTGCCAGACACTATGCTAGATGCTGGGATATAATAGCAAAGAAGATACACATGGTCTCACAGGCCTCACAGTTGAGTAGCGGATGTAGACTACTAAAATGGCACGTACATTACTGTACTGGCGGTTCATTGGGCTCTCCTAGCACAGGATTATTCTGGCCTGGGACAGGGTCAACTTCTCCAAGGAAGTGACTTCTAATCTGAAATAGTCAGTCCTGGCCAAAATAACAACAGTATTATGAAGGGTGTAAGAGAAACTGTTCTATCTGTTCTGGCATAGTTTTACCCTTGTTGCTAATAAAGAACAGCAGTACAGATCTTAAACTCTCTTTGTACAACCATAAGTGAGAAACAAATTCATTTGAACTGACAGCTACCAAAGATGCACAGCTGCCATCTGGTGACAAACAAACCCCTTGCACACCCCTTATGATTTGATAAGCTAGATGTTTTACCGAGGTTATCTGAACAGGATGGGTTGCAGTTGTTGGTAGTAACAGCTTTTTCATTCTCTCTAAGTATTTATAGTTTCATATTCTGTTTGTCACAGGTCTGAAGTTACTTTTTTTTTTTTTTTTTTTTTTTAAGTGACAAGGTCTTACTGTATTGCCTAGGCTGAAGTACAGTGGCATGATCATAGCCCACTGCAACCTTTAACTCCTGAGCTCAGGCAATCCTCCCATGTCAGCCTCCCACGTAGCTGGGACTACAGGCATACACCACCATGCCTAGCTGATTTTTAATTTTTTTGTTAAGGTGGGGTCTCACTCTGGTGACCAGGATGTTCTTGAACTCCTGGCCACAAGTGATTGTCCTGCCTCAACTCCCATAGTGCCGGGGTTACGACATGAGCCACTATGCCTGACTCAAGTTCCAGAATTTTAGTGTATTGTTATTAATCCCATTCTATCTCTATTTTACTATATTTTCTGAAAGCTTGGAAGGTAGTATTACCTTGGGAAAGCGTAATCTTTATAAGAGCAATGACTCTTACAGGATAGGTGTAAACAGTGATACTGCAAACTCTGAGAAAGGAGATACTTCTTGAGGCATATCCAATTGTGATAATATTTTCCATTCATTGTCTTTGCAAAAATGTAGTCTAGTTTTGATGAAACAGGAATATTATTTTCTAGATCTTTTATTTTTCCAAAGAAAAATAAGTAGATTAGAATAACATCAACTTTCAGATTTCCTAATGAAATAATATGAAGACTTGGGGAATCTGACTGTTTTCTGATTCCTGTTCTGTAGTGCCCTCTGTTTCCCTGTGCGTACACAGATAACCGAGTGTGCTGCAGCTGTTTATGGCTCAAAATGACAGGTATAAATGTCGAGTTTTACTGTAAATGAGACTCTCATTCAATTGTAACTATTAGCCAAATTTAAGAAAAAAATACATAATTTTTGTGATTTATTAGTGTTGTGATTTACTAGTATACCCAAGTCTACCTGGTTTTTTGAAAAACTCTAAGGTATATGTTTAAAAAGCGGTGTCCCAAGTTAAAGGGTGCTTCATTAAGTGTTGTGCTGTATTTTACTTGGTCAGTTTGATTTTAAAATACCTGCATTATCAAACAAATGACTATTAATTTTTTTTGAGTATTCAGATTTTAAAAGTCTATTTTTCTTCATAGGATGATTCGATTTTATGTAAATTGTGAAAATACTGTCTCAAATGATAAGATATTTGCCAAAGTGTATTTGTTTATAAACAGTTTCTTTTTTTTTTTCCTCATTGATTTTTTTTAAGTGGAAAATGCCTCACATTGTGCTCTTTTCTTTAGGTTCATTGTAGGGAAGGAAGAAATTCCCACACACTCTTTTTCACCAGAGGCAGCATATGCAAAAGTGGAACAAAAGAGAGAGCAACACAAGGAAAAACCCAGAAGAATGAATATGATTGGTCTAGTCAGGAAATTTGTGGATTCAATGTGAGCACTTTATCTTGATATTTTAACCTACTTTGTCACTGTTTCATATGATATTTGTACCGTGCCATGGTATTTTTGTTTTCTGTTCAGGTAATGATGATCATTTTTCATCAGAAACTGCATAGAATTTTATAAAAGGCACACAATGGCAAGTGAATATTATTTATTATTTCTGGCAGGACTATAGACCATCATATGCCTTTAAAATAGGTTTACGTAGAATTGGAATACTTTTGTATTTCAAACCAGGCAGAATCACAGGAGGCCATGATGGAGAACTTCAGGAAACTGATTAATATGTGTTGATTTAATGTGCCAAGTGTGGAAAGAAGGAAGCAAAATTCCTGAGAGAGATTCAAGAAGATTAAGGAATAATAAGGGACAACCCTTAAGTAAAGGATATTTTGTAAGAGTGAACATTTTTGGGGTTCTCAAACTGAAATGTTTTTATTTGTATTTTATAAAAAGAAGTTTTCAGGTTTCATACAAATTTTCGTTTATATTTCTAGTGTAGTGTAGATATTTAAGAAAATAAATTTAATAGTTTGAAATTAGATTATCAATCAATAAATAAAATCTTGGTAGTGATATTTTAGAGAGGGTGGAATGAGTAGGCAATAAAGAAAGTTAGGGGATCAATTATAGCAAGGGCTCCTAACCCCTGGGCCATGGACCAGTACTGGTCCGAGGCCTTTTAGGAACCCGGCCACACAGCAGGAGGTGAGCAGCAGGCCAGCAAGCATTACCATTTGAACTCTGCCTCCTGTCACATCAGCAGTGGCATTAGATTCTCATAGGAGCATAAACCCCATTGTGAACTGCACGTGTGAGGGATCTAAGTTGCGTGCTTCTTATGAGCATCTAATGCCTGATGATGTGGAGTGGAACAGTTTCATGCTAAACCATCCCCCTCTCCCGCCACCCAGTCAGTGGAAAAATTGTCTTCCATGAAACCAGTCCCTGGTGCCAAAAGAGTTGGGGACCATTGAGTTATAGGAAGCTGAGGTCCTTTAATAAATTAGAAAACCTATGTTTCACTCTTATTTTCCCTCTACCAGCATTGTAACTTTGGATGAGAGATTTAACCATTGTGCATTTCCAAGTTCTTATCTGTTAACTGGGATTAATAATCTCTATTAAGAATTGCTGTGAGCATTAAATGAGATAACATCTATGAACTTGCCTGACATAAAATATGAGCACAGGGAGGGTACTCAGATTTTTATTGAATTTAAAGGTTTTGTTTTCATCTTAACATACAATACATCTAGAAGATAACAGGAATAATTATGGTAGTTGAATTTATTAAACAAGTTCAAAAATAGTTATGGGTTACCTCAGTGGAGAAAAGGGAGAAAGGATCCTATTAATGGAAATAATTTCAACGGGAATCAGAGGGGAATGCAGAGAATGAATTATATGGGTAAATGATGCCTTGGGCATCAGAACTGATCAGGTCATGACAGAACGTATCAGAGTAGCCTCAGTGGGTCTACTGGTGTGAAAGCAGATGCAGAATAATACAGAAGCAAAGCAAATAATACAGGAGACAGGCAGTCCAGGTTCTGGGAAGCCATTTATGAGTGACTAAGAAAGACTAATTGACAGTACAGTTGATATCAGGATTTAACTTCACTAGCAAAGAAAGGTTAGGCCAGGCATGGTGGCTCACACCTGTAAAACTAACACTTTGGGAGACTGAGGTAGGAGAATCACTTGAGGCCGGGAGTTTGAGACCAGCCTAGGCAACATAGCAAGACCCTGTCTCTCAAAAAAATTTTAAAATTAGGTAGGCATGGTGGCATATGCCTGTAGTCCTGGCTACTCAGGAGGCTGAGGTGGGAGGATTGCTTGAGCCTAGGAGTTTAAGGCTGCAGTGATCTATGATCATTATGATCATGCTACTGTACTCCAGCTTGGGTGACAGAGTGAGACCCCCATCTCTTAAAAAAAAAAAACCAAAACCCCAAAAAACAAAGGAAGCTTAACAATTTCAGTGTAGTTCTGGTAGCAATGGCTGAGAAATGTCTTTGAAGGGGACACTTAAAAGTGTGAAGAGTGATGGCTTGCATGAGGCAGCCTTTCTCTTATTCACTGCTTTTCAGGCCTCCAGCTTTAATCACTCAGCAGCTTCACATGGCCAGATATGCCTTAGCATTCTAAAGATATAAGGGCTATGGCCAGTGTGAACTGAACTGTTGCTGTCACCGTTGACTAGGAAAGGCTGTATACTCCAGCTGTAGTGCAGAATTGGATTTCTGTAAAGGTCTTGCTAATCAATTTGCGAATGGGATTGGAGAGGTGCAGAGCCAGAACATTGCTCTACAAGTTATTGTTACAAACAGGAAAACATTCATATGGTTCAACCATGAAAATAATTAATTAGCTACAGTCTGAAAGAAGTTATAAAGACCGCTTGTTTTGGAACATGAACCCTCAAAGAGAGAGGGAGAGTTAGAACCATGTTAGATATTCTACTTTTTTATGCCTAGGGTTAATAAATAGTCTTGGATTCAACATGCTAAATAATTAAAATGAGTGCATCGTGAACAGTAGTCCTCCCAGCAGAAATATTTATTAAACACTAGAGGGTTAAGTGGTTTACAGTTAAATCACAAATTAACTACTTTTGAATTACCACATGATCTCTATTTCTATATTTATTTCAACTGAATTTTGAATCCTAATACTATATCATGTTTCTTTTCCAGATGTTTTCTCTCAAATCTAATTAAGTATAAATTCCTGTAACCTGAGCACATTCTCATTATGACTTTTGCTCAAGTACTGACTTATGGATGATTTATTACCATTATACTCTACAATAAGCAATTTAAAGTTTCCAAAAGACTTGGCAGAGTATATACATAATATATACGTATTTTTTCATATTTAATCACAAATACCTAACAGGGTGGTTTCTCTAGTCCATATTCAAGTATTTTGACTGCAGTCAGATAGTTTATACAATGTGTCAAAAGGTAAGCAGCAAGTAGAAAAAGCAAAAATATCTGTTGTTCTTGCTTCTTTATGTCCTAAAACACCAAAAGTGACACACATTTAGAAGTAGTGAGTGGCACGGTGGCTCATACCTGTAATCCCAGAACTTTGGGAGGCCAAGGCGCGTGGATCACCTGAGGTCAGGAGTTCGAGACCAGCCTAACCAACATGGTGAAACCCCATCTCTACTAAAAATACAAAAATTAGCCGGGCGTGGTGGTGGGTGCCTGTAATCCCAGCTACCTGGGAGGCTGAGGCAGGAGAATGTCATGAACCTGGGAGGCAGAGGTTGCAGTGAGCTGAGATTGCACCATTGCACTCCAACCTGGGGGACAAGAACGAGACTTTGTCCCCCTCAAAAAAAAAAAAGAAGTGAGTGATGTTTTCTTCTCTTTTTCCTTTGTTTTTCTTGGTTAGAAAGCTTTAAACAGATCCACAAACATATACAAACACATGGATATACACACTTTAATTATAATTAGTTTAATTTTTTTGGGTTCACTTTCAGATGCAAACATGGACCAAGGCATAGATGTTGCAAACATTATGAAGATAATTGCTTCTCTTATTGCATTAAAGTAAGTATATGAAAGTATGTACTTTATTAACAATAGGGAATGGGTATAGAAATAACTTACTTATTTAGAAATAATGTAAAAGTAAATGGAAAAGTTGACATTAATAACTGCTATCATTCTTTGAATCTGACTTCAAGAGATGAGAAATTTATGACAATAGGTGACAGTTTAGCTTTCAGTATTCACTTACCAGATCCTTAAATAATTTAAAAATTAGCTTATTTAAAAATTGGCTTACTTACGACATGGAAGATAAGATGGGATAACAACAAGGAAACATAAAGTCATTAAAATTTGTACTTTGTAATGTATCCTCATTAGAACTACATCCTAGAACAAGACTCCCAGACTGTGCTGTGTGCTAGCTGGATCAGCACTCACACACATACACTATATGCACTGTGCCCCGTCTGGTACAATGGCATTTAATTTTGGACTTGTAAAACTATTACTTTTTTTTTTTTTTTTTTAAGCCATTGAGCTAACTGGAGCATGTCCACAGTTGCTCTACATTAAGAGAGCTAACTATGCCTGGCATAATTTCCTGACTACCTAGTGGACTTGTGTACTAGCATGTCTCTCCCTCCTCCCCTGCCGTTTGTTGTCCCTCCTCCCTTCCCCCATCACCACCACTTCTGGGAAGAAAGTTATTTTCTTTGCAGTCAGCGTGGCACAGGTGGCACCACCTGCTGCAAGTTCTTTAGTTTTTTGTTTTGTTTTTTAAAGATGGAGTCTCGCTCAGCCACCCAGGCTGGAGTGCAGTGGTGCTATCTTGGCTCACTGCAACCACCGTCTCCTGGGTTCAAGCAATTTTCCCATCTCAGCCTCCCGAGTAGCTGGGATGATTACAGGCACCCATCATCATGCCTGGCTGATTTTTGTGTTTTAGTAGAGGTGGGGTTTCACCATTTTAGCCAGGCTGGTCTTGAACTCCTGACCTTAGGTGATCTGCCTGCCTTGACCTCACAACACTAGGATTACAGGTGTGAGCCACCGCGCCCAGCCAAGTTCCTTAGTTTTGAATGGTGCTCTAACAGTTCCAGTGCTGTAGAAAGTTTATGTTCTTCTTGCAATTTTAGTCTCTACTCAGTTGATGATGAGAAGAGCAGAGTTGTGCAGCACCCCAAAAGACAGCCCCTTTATGGTTACTCTAGAAAGGAGGAACTGTCCCACATTAGTGCTCATGAAGGTAAACATCTGTGACCCAGTGTTGACGGTACCATTTGCCCAGCCCACACTTAGCTTCACAATTCCCCAGAATGACCAAGGATAAAACAGTAGGGTTTTCTTTTGTTTTGTTCCTCGGTTGTGCAATACTTTCTGACACTCTTTCCAAATTTGATTTCCTGCCTCAGTTTAAAGTGGCCAAAAAAAAAAGTAACATTGCTGGCAGTCCAAGTCAGCTGGTACCTGGATTTATTATTCCTTCCAACTGAACATGATTGTAGTTCAAAGGAAAGCTTTAGATGGGGATCTAAGAGAAGTATTTTTGGATTAAATCAGAGGTATTTGAGAAATTTGGAGTGGGGGAGGTAATATTAAAAAAAATTGTATGAGAAAGTTAGTGAGAATTTCCAAGCAATAAAAAACTAGTGATTCTTTCAAATGTGTATGAGTACTGTAAACTTGGCAATTTATGTATAAATTGGAATACTGTATTATATTCATGAATGTAAAACTATTTGGAGACCTGTGGGTGAGGAATTTAAGCCATAAACATGGTAGCGAAATTTTTTGACAATGAACCTCATTATTTCAAAAACTTAATTACACCATATGTTAAATCACATCCCTGAGTAAATCCTCATATTAATTACATTGTCCTCAACATTCTGTACTCCATTCACACTAACTTTTTCTTGGTTCCTTACACCTACCAGCCTCTTCATTGGCTTTATATTTTCTGTCTGAGCTGTCTGAAATGTTTTTCTCATGCTAACTTCTTCTCTTTTGGTTCTACTTAAATGTCACATCATTTACATGTCTGCCCTTAACATTTAATCTAATATAGATTGCCCTGTTAATGTCTATCCTAGTGTCTTGATTACTTCCTTCATAACATTTATTATAATCTTTTGTATTTGTTTACTTAGTTCTTTTCTTTTCCACTAATGAACATGAAAGCTCCACGAAGGCAAGAACTCTGTGTCCTCCTCGTCACTGTTACCCCAGCATCTAGTGTAATGTTTGGCACATAACAGGCATTCAGCAAATATTTTCTAAGTACATTAATGGGTAGGTGAATAGTTCTCTTGAAACTAGTATGAAAAAGATTATAATGTAATTATAATCCCTAAATCCTTAGATTATCATTATAAGGTTATCAGTGGCAAGATAGAAGTGTGACCATTTCATTCATTTAACAAATACTAGGCAATTTCAGTTAAGCAGATGCTTGAGAATTCACAGTAATTGACTGGACAATTTGATTTTATGTTTTAATAAGGTATTAGGTAGTTTCAGGTAAATTAACCAGTGTTTCCTCATTGTAATTAATTCTTTTTCTAGAAAAGAAAGCTGTAGTCCAGAAAATACAAACCTGACTTTGGGGCATACACTGCTAAGAGTGTAAATATTTTCCCATTCCAGTCGGAGTTAGAGAGGAGGAGGATGGGACACTGGTATTAACAATGTATTGGTTGAACTGTATAGAAAATACTGTTCTTTTTGTTAATGTTTTGTGCTAATTGAAATTTTTCAGTTTAATATTAATTACTTGTAGTCTCTCAGACATCTAAAATTCATCTTCATAAATACGGAAATGAAATTGACCAATAATAGTCATCCTCTCCAGATCTCTTTTGCATTATGGACAGTTGAAGGAAATATAGAGAAATGTTAACAGTAAATTTGTAGTAGGTTTGCTTTTTCAAGTTTAATTTGATATACCTTAAAGCTACTCCTCCCTAGGGATGTTTTAACCTGACATAGTGGAGCACAGGAATGAAAACCTAGATATAATTATGCACTCCCTGCCCCCTGGAAGTTCTTCTTACCTGACCATTTTAAAAATTAGCACCAAAGGTCTGAACAAATAATGAAAATATTTTTCTATGAAAATAATCCCTACTCGTGCTAATCATTAAGAGCAGTTTTCTGTTAACATTTTTCAAGAGCATTTGGTTTTATTAAGTAGTTTTTGGAATTTTAGTGCTTTTGTATGTAAAACTCATTTGTGGTTTAGGAATTTAAAATCCTGATTATTGTCAACAAAATGTCAAGAAATGGAATTCTGGTAGATAGGCAAGCTTGGCCAGTGCTTGTGAGACTTTTTAAGTCTTTGTAAATCAAAGAAAGTAAACTCATTCCAAGACTTCACTCTTGTTTTTAAGGTAATTGTTTTAAAATTATTGTTTGAGGTTTTAAGGCTTTATTTTGAAAGTTGCTGTGCTATAAACTTAGATTAAATTTGTTTTGTCTTGTTTCTATTTTGAGATGGTAAAATTCATATTCTATGAAAAACTTCAAAATTTGTTTGTAAATCAGATTTTCCTCCAAATTTCCTCTAGGGTTTCATCAGAATGTTTAGCGTGGGGTACTTGATCCAGTGCTGCCTCCGAATCCCCTCTGCATTTAGGCATCTATTTACACAGCCATCTTGGCTACTTTCTCTCTTCTACAATAAAGAAAACTTCCAGCTTGGAGCTTTTCTTGGCTCTTTTGTTAGTATATACAAGGTAAGGCTTTTAGAAGAGGAAAGAAAAATGGGAAATAAATAACATTGCTATTATTAGAATGAGAGATGGCCTTAGTTCACTTATTTTTTAATGCTTCTTTCTGGAATATTCATAGATACCTTGAACATAACCAGATCTATACACTGTATTGGGAAGTGAGGGTGCAGAAATTTCTTCTTTTAAAATATTATTTAATATACTTGAATGTGTAGACATGTTTGCATTTAGATATGGTATTAAACATTGTCAGACTCATTTTCTTTTTCAGTACATAGACACTCAGAAAATATGAATTTTTTGGATATTTCCAACATCAAAAATGATATTAATATGCCTGGTTTGTTTTTTTAATCATATTTACTGCCTGGTTATTAGTTTAAATGTATTTCAGATCTTTCTAGCTGAAATAAACACTTGATAGAATCAGAGAGGATTTTCTATTGTAACTTATATAAGCAATGACTTATGTTCCTTCTTCCACCCACTCCCAGTTGATACTACACTGTCTCAAATAACCAGAGTTCACAGTCTTCCACCCCATTCTGTATGTTCCTATAAAAGTGCCCGCACATATATAAGCCTACACCTAAACATATATGTAGAGATCATTCTTAACCTAGTACTCTGCAACTTTAAGTGATGGCCTTTTGCATAATGGAGTCACTAGTATGTACATCATATTTTATAAAACACTTAAAAGATTCTTAATCTGAATATAGTCTCTAAATGGTAAAGTGTGTTAATTAATGTTGACCTAACACATGGACATAAAGATAACAACAGAAGTCACTGGGGGCTTCTGGAGGAGGGAGGGAGGGGAGGGAGCAGGGCAAGAGTTGGAAAACTAGTGCCTGGGTATCAGGATCAATCATACCCCAAACCTCAGCACCACACTTTATACCCCGTAACAAACCTGCACGTGTATCCCCCGAGTCTTAAAAAAAAAAAAGTTGCAATTTAAAAAAAAAAAAGAGATTAGAACATGTACACACACAGAGGAATGACCACACGAGGACACAGGGAGAAGGTGGCCATCTGGTAGCCATGAAGAGAGGCCTCAGGAGGAGCGAACCTTGAGCATACCTTGATCTTTGAACTCCCAGCCTGTATGACTGTGAAAAAAATTGATGTGTTGTTTTTTTTTTTAATCTACAATCACAAATTGCTCACTTTTGCCGTAATTTTACTTTATAAAATAGATGTGTGGCCGGGCGCGGTGGCTCACGCCTGTAATCCCAGCACTTTGGGAGGCCGAGGTGGACGGATCATGAGGCCAGGAGATCGAGACCATCCTGGCTAACACGGTGAAACCCTGTCTGTAATAAAAATACAAAAAAAATTAGCCGGGTGTGGTGGTGGGCACCTGTAGTCCCAGCTGCTGGGGAGGCTGAGGCAGGAGAATGGCATGAACCCGGGAGGTGGAGCTTGCAGTGAGCCGAGATCATGCGACTGCACTCCAGCCTGGGTGACAGAGCGAGACTCCCTCTAAAAAAAAAAAAAAAAAAAAAGATACATCTTTTGAGCACAGGGATTGTGGCTCATTTTGCAGGAACATGCAGCAGGCATTCCAATATATCTGACTAATGAATTAAGGACATTAAAGGAGTGTGCATTTTTGTAGATGGGATTTGTCTACCTTCCCACTGTCTACAAAATATATATATATATTTCATTCATATTTTATTTCTTTGAATAAGTGTTAATGTATATTTTAATAAATATATTGAAAGAAGGATATATATTCTGTGGGTATATATATGTGTGTATATATATACATGCACATATACACACTTTTTGTTGTTAAACTCAAATAAAATTAATGATGGGAAAACTGAATTCTAGAATTATTTAGGGTAACATGGTCAGTGTCATTTTCTGTAAAAATTTACACATACAAGATAGGTATGGATAAAATATTTTGAAAAGCAAAAGAGGAATAATAAACTATAGATAATGGATCACTTGTTATGAAATATTACTAATGTTAAAAACATTTTCAATATGGTTTGACTAGGAAGCATTACTAATGTATTTGAATATACAAGAGTTAAGGACAGATGATTGGTAATTGCATGTTTATATTCACATTTAAAAAAAATTTCTCACATTACAGCATTTGTATTTATTCTTAACGTAAACTCTTAACTATTTACATGTGGATTATCTCCAACATTTTTAGCCCCAGGTTGGTTATTCCCTACCATCTAGCATATCTCAGAGTGTGTTTTGTTTTGCTTTTTTATTTTTCATTTTTGTTACTATTTATTTACTTAGGTAATACAAACAAATGGTATTAAACTAACAAAAATACAACTGGGTCAGAAAATTTCAGAAAATATTCATGTGGTGTGTTCAAAAACTGTATGTGATTTTTCAAAAACAAATTGCCCATGCTATAGTATCTTTGTAAGAATGTTAAGAGAAGGGCAGGCAAATAAACCTTGTTTTTTCTGTTTCTTGGTGAACTGACCCTTTTTAAAAAATTTGGTAAGGTTCTTCTTTATCACTGGTAATATTCATTGTTTTATAGTCTACATTTAATATTAATATAACTACTTCAATTTTTTAAAATTATCGTTTGATGTAATAATGTTTCCATTCTTTCACTTTAATTTTTCCTTCTTCATTTGAAAAACTGGTTTCTTTTAGGCTGCAGAGAGTTGGCCCTTTCTTATAGAATCTGATCATCTCTGTCTTCTAATTGTCATGTTTGTACTGTTTACATATAATTTATTATATGTAAACATATATAGTTTATGATGTGATTGCGTTTAAACCTACTTTCATGTTGTTTTGTGTTTGTTCCTTTTTTTTCTTCTTCTTTTTTTTTTCTTTTTCGGCCTTCTGGATTGATTGTGTATTTTACTATGGCTCCATTCTATCTTCATGATTGCCTTATTATTTGTGCTTGCTTTCATTTAGTGGCTGCCTTAACATTTTATAATACACATTTTTAATGTATCAGCCAATCTTCAAGTAATGTTATACTACGTCACATACAGTGTCAGACCTTACAACACTGTACTTTGAATTTCTCCTTCCCATCCTTTGTTATAGAATTTAACATTTATCATTTATTTTTATATGTGTTATACACTCCACAATGCGTTGTTACTATTTTTTGTTTTAGATCAGGGGTCAGCACACTTTTTCTGTGAAGAGCCAGATCATGACTATTTTAGGCTTTGTGACCATGTGGTCTATGTCATAACTACCCACCTCTGCTGTTACAGTGTGAAAGCAGCTATAGACAATATATAAATGAATGAGTGTGGCTGTTTCAGTAAAACTTTATCACACTATAATTAGAACTTTGTATAATTTTCACATCGTAAAATGTCATTCTTTTGATTTATTTTTCATTTATTTAGGACTGTAAAAATGATTATTAGCTCCTGAGCCATATAAAAACAAGTGGCAGGCCGGATTTGGCTAGTGAGCCATAGTTTGCTGACTCCTATTTTAGATAGTTAATTAACTTTTCGTGCAAGTAAATATAAGAAAAATATGTCTTCTAAATTTACCTTCACTTTTCTATTTCCAGAACTCTGCATTTCTTTTCATAGTTCTGAATTTTTGTCTCGTGTCATATTCCTTCTATCTTTAACATTTGTGTGAGCTCAGATCTGCTGGTGATGGATTTTCTCAGCTTTTATTTGTCTGGAAAAAATATTTGTTTCATCTTCAGTTTTGAGAAATATTTTCTCTGGGTATAGAATTGTGGCCTGACAGACTTGTTTAACCAGCATTTTGTTCTTGTTAAAATGGGAATGTTGCATTTCTCAGCATTCGATAGCTAGGCAAAAGTGGAATTTATGGATTTGTTTTGAAAAATCAGTGCAATAAAAATATTATGTGTAATTTCTTAATAGAGTCTATCCAGGGTAATAACTTTATAAAATATTATTTTTCATAATTTTTCCAATCACATATTCAGTTTGATTTAGATAAGATCACTAATTGAACTGCAAGGTAATCTGATGAATTGATTCGTTATAGTTGTTTTTGTTTTATGTTTTTGTTTCTAGAAATGAAATAACTGTAGTCATTGTATTTTCTCCTTAACTAGGGTACTAGTTGCTTCCTGCGCTGGATCAGAAACTTAGATGATGAACTACATGCTATTATAGCTGGTAAAGCAATAATAAAAAATGAATAGTTATTATTGTATTAATCAGTGGTAGGAATGAATTAGAAATACCATCCAATTCATCCAATTTCTATGGATCTTCCTTTCTCTATTGTAATAGAATCCCAGTTGAGGCACTTGTCCAAATACTTCATGATGTTTCACATATTAAGGCACTGTTGCCATCTGATGTTTTGAGTTGGCAGTGTAATGACTTGGGTATCTGTCCTGCTATAGGCCATAAATCCTAGCGAATGTGTCACAAAAGAACGTAAAGCCTTATAGTTACCATATAAGTGATTAATGGAAGTTCAAGTAGATTTCATTGAAAATTCTATTTTTACCATGAGAAAATGGCATATATTTTCATAATAACTTTTTAAAGGACCTTAATCATTTTGTTAAAAAATCTAAATATTATTTTCTTTAAGTGTAATATATTATTAAATTAAATAGATAATTTATCAGATATTTATTAGGAATAATCTTAGTTATTAGTATTCGACAACTCCTGTCTTCCCCCGGCCTTGGTTTTCCATTTATAGAACGAATGAAAGCAGTGCTATAGAGAGAAGTATTGATAGCACTAAAAATTATTTGAACTATTTAATATTAGAAGAATATATGAATAAATATTTCCACTTAAAATCGAAATGATACCAAAAGGCTTTGAAAAATTATGTTTTTAAAATTGTATTTGGCAAGACCACTCCTCTTTAAAGTTAAAATAGAAATGTAAAGCTTCTTGTTATACATAAATCAGAACTGTTTAACTCTGAATATCAATTTTTAAATAAAAAATATGCAATAATAACTCACCTCATTTTAATGTCATCTGGTGTATTACTGTCCTTGATTGTGTTGTAACAAGAGATAGTGCTGATTCTGTGTAACTGAATTTACATTTCTGATGACATAATACTAAACAAACACTTTGCGATCTTATCAGTTATTTCTTATTTCTTGTTTCAGGATTTTTGGCAGGTATATCAATGATGTTTTATAAAAGCACAACAATTTCCATGTATTTAGCATCCAAATTGGTAGAGGTAAGCAAAATTTTTATGCATGGAGAGTTCCAAAGAATATAAAGCTTTTAGCTGCTGACTGTTTTAACAGCAAATACATATCCCAATGGCAAAAGTAAATTTTAATCGTCTAAAAGTATTTGCAAAGTTGATTCCCCTGTGTTTTTCTTTGTGTGTGTGTATTTTCAAATATACATTAAGTATAGAAAGAGTAGTGTAACTAACCTTCATGCACCCATCATGCAGCTTCAACAGTTACCAGCATTTGCCCAGTCTCCTTTCATCTACACTCCTCAACCCCACAGGTACCGAATTGTTTTAAAGGAAATCCCAGACATTATATCATTTCATCCTTAAAAAAATCTCAGAGTAAAGACTCCTTAAAGAATAAAGGCTAAAGGCTTCTTCAAAACAAACAAATCAACAATACCTCAGTATCATTATCATACATTAAAACCCTCCCAGTAATTCCATAGTAATATAATATATCCAATTAGAGTTTATGTCTTCACTGATTATCTTATAAATATCTTTTTACAATCATTTTATTTTAATCAAGTTCCAAACAAAGTTTCTTTTAGTTTATAATAGTTACCCCCCTACTACTGCTGCTACAGCTTTTCTTCCTCCTCCTCCTTCCTTGACATTTATTTGTTGAAGATGTAGGTCATTAGTTCAGGGAATTTCCCAAATTCTGAATTTTGCTGATTGCATCCTCACTGTTGTTAACATGTTTCTTTAACTCATGAATTTTTAAAATTGTTAGATCTTGAGGCCTAAGCAAATTCAGGTTTAAATTTTTATAGGCAGTAACAGACATACTTCACATTTACTGTGTATGTGAACTTTCAATTGCATGACGAGGCACAAAAATGTCTGGTTGTCTCTCTTATTGTAATGCTAAGATTGATCAGTGGGCTTAGGTGTTGATAGAGCCAACATAAGGTTCCCCAGTAGCCTTTTAGCTAGTGGTTTTACCAGCTGTTAATAATCACTGGGATTTATTATTTCATTAAGGGTTGTAAAATGATGAAAAATACTATTATTGTTTATTCTGTGTTTATTAGCTGAAATTGTTCTAAAAGCATTTTTCATTTTCAACTGTTTGGTTACTCTGAAATATGTTGTTCTGGGAAGTCAAAATAAAATGCTTGATTACTTCATTTTTAATTATCACTGTTTAGAATGAGTTAGTACGTTAGCATCCTGCAAAGTTGACCGATGAGTCTTTATTTTTAAAGTATCATTATGAAGATTTGGAGTTTAACATATGTGATTTATTTTAACCCATTGCAATCATTATGTTCAAATTGTTCCCATATTTGGCCATGAGAGCTTCCTTAAGTTGACTCCTGTTTGTTGTAACATAACACCATTATCTTTGATAGCTTTCTTGCTGTAAGACAATATATTCCAGGCTCATCTGGGACATTTTCTGCCTCAGACATAGAATCAGTCTTCTCTGTAATGGCTCCTAGTTTGTTTTAGTGGGAAATGGTATTTAAAGATTTCAGTCCGGCTACTAGAGGTTATTTGCTCCCAGGCTAGTTACTGATTCTTGGCTTTCGCAGTGAACGGAGCTAGAGAATCTCCCTCCCCTTTCTTTTTAGAGACAGAAAATACATTTGGAGCATATTGATATTTCTAATTCAAAGTTAAGAGTATAGATTTTATTTAACTTGTTTAATTACTTGCTTTACCCAAATATGTGCTTGTGTGTGTGTGTGTGTGTGTGTGTGTGTTTGTGTGTGTGTGTGTGTGTGTGTGTGTGTGTGAGAGAGAGAGAAAGAGAGAGAGAGATTGAGGGAATATATACATCATGAAATCAGGAGGACAGGCAGGAGCCAGATCATGTAGGATTTTAAAAGCTGGGGTAAATAATTTATTTTTTTTTCTCAGTGCACTGGAAACCACTGAAGAGTTTTAAGCGTGGAAATGACAGTATTTAATTCACATTTTAAGAAGAACATTCTGGCTACTATATAGAGGGAGGCAGGACCGAAGCTGAGAGAACAGTTAGTCTCTGTCAGGAGATGGTGGCTTGTACCAGGATGGTAGCAGCAGAGATGGAGAGAACTACACGGGTTTGGTGTATGTTTAGGAGTAGAGTTGACAAGACTTGCTCATGGAGAGGAAAAGGGAACTGAGAGAAAGAAAATAATTCTTAGGTGGCAAAAATATGTTCTTTAACACAAGAGGAAACCAATACTGAGATCTAGTTTATTAAAGGTGTTTTACAGCTAAGTGGCCAGAGTTTTTTAAGGCAAGCAATGGTATCTCTCCCTTTCTTGTGTCATCAGGCCATATCTGATCCTGACAAAAGAAACTGGCATATAAACTGTGCTGGTGCAGACTTTTTTTAAAAAAAGAATTAGGGAGATTAGAAATTTAAGCTTGCTATGTCCTTTTGTGGAATTCTTTGCTCTGTTGTAATAGACAATCATTTTTCTATGATTGAAGTTAATTTTATATTAAAATGCTCTATTACTGTACAGTGAAAATGATCAACTGTATAGACCATTGTTTTCTAGGAACCTCTGAGTCAAATGCATATTTTTATTTAGTATATATTATGTTCTCATTACTGTGCTACACACTGGAAAGAGTATAGAAGTATAGGATATGGTTTCTATCCTTCATTAACTTAGAATCTGGTTTATTAAATGAATTTTATTATAAATAATTAGAAACACAGTTATTCTATCTATTGGGAAATAGCTGTTTCACTTAACATTTGTGTGATGCAGTTCTAACACATCTGAATTAAATTTTCTTCAACATGAATACAGCACAATATATCTGTATCTTGCAATATACTGTTACATTGTTTTTTCAAAATAATGGCCAATGTATATTTATTTATCTTGTTTCCAAAATAGATTATAACTTGGTATATATCTTACAATTCTCATATATCCCAGTCTCTTACACATATTATGTACATTTACTCTTCAGTATGTACTTTTGGATTGATTTGTATGTAAAGTATTCACCTTATCATTTCCTTTGTTGCTTTGCTCTTTGGTTATGGTAGCTTATATAGATCTTGAGGATTCTTTTTATGGCAATTCATTTGGGATATAATTTTAAAAGAGTCCGATTTACTTAGCAAGTATTTTAATGCCATGGTCTGGGGTAGGTATTGAAGACCATGCAAAGTTGAAGAAGAGAAGGTTGTTGCCACCTGTCAGTAACTTATTTTGAGTTCTCATCCTGTTTATATTCTTTATTTTGTGAAGAACAGTGCCCAGCATGTAGATACCGTTAAATGTTTACTAAATAAATTAATGAAGGATGAACAGATCTATCAGGGAAAAGAGCACATGAGCACTGTACAGAAATCATTGAAGAGTAAATATCATTTAAAAAGCAGAAATAAAATGTTACTGAATTTACAGAAAAGTATTAGTGCTTGAAGCTGGGATTTGGAGCAAAACAGTGAGGGAAAGGGAAGGGCTGACCCTTAACATCATTATGAAAAATGTGACATGGTTTGAGCTCTGAAGGGAGTATTAGGATTCAGAAAGGTAGAAAACATAGTTGTAGGCAGGGAGCACGATGCTCAACTATGTTTTTAATGCTGAGGTTTTTTTCTTTATAACTCTTGTCTTATGCTTGTTTTGCAGACAATGTATTTCAAAGGCATTGAAGCAGGGAAGGTTCCATATTTTCCTCATGCAGATACTATCATCTATTCCATCTCTACAGCAATTTGCTTCCAGGCAGTAAGTATAGCTTTTTGAAATGAGAAATTGTATGATTCCTGTTTCTAATATACATTAATCAAATGGGAGAAAAACAAACTCTGGGAACATTTCTATTTACAGTATTACATTTTAAGCTTCTTTTTTTTGTTTTTGTTTTTGTTTTTGTTTTTGTTTCCCAGCAAGCTAGCTTACAGGCTTCTAATCTTTAAACATGTTAACTTAATGGGCTAGGTCCTTTCTATGAGTACACCAATTTTTAGGTTTTAATAGACTACAATTTATAAGTAAATTATTATTCCAGTACCTTGGGAAGAATGCCCCAATTTAATTATCCTTCCCTTTGATTAAAAAAAAAAGGATAATAGGGATATACTGGTAATAGGCATAGGCATAAATATAAATAATTGCATTTCTCCAATATTCAGAATGAGGATGAGGAAGAACTAGTTTCGTATAAGCATTGTTCAATGTCTAAATTCTGTTACCATTATTATTGACATTAATGGTGTTAGGGCTGTTTTAAAATTTTTGGGAAAACTTTTATTTGCTCTTTCTCACAAAATGCTGCCAGGTTGAAAAACTCATTAAAACTAATGAAGTATCAATATCTCAGTAAATCCTTCCTGATAATGACTATTCTCTTAATTATTACTTCAAAAGCAACTTTTTTTTTTTTTTTTTTGAGATGGAGTTTTGCTCTTGTCCAGGCTGAAGTACAGTGGCGCAATCTCAGCTCACTGCAACCTCCACCTCCTGGGTCCAAGTGATTCTCCTGCCTCAGCCTCCCAAGTAGCTGCGATTAAAGGCATACACCACCATGCCTGGCTAATTTTTGTATTTTCAGTAGAGACGGGGTTTTTCCATGTTGGTCAGGCTTGTCTCGAACTCCTGACCTCAGGTGATTTGCCTGCCTCAGCCTCCGCAAGTGCTGAGATTACAGATGTGAGCCACCGCGCCCGGCCAAAAGCAACATTTTTATTTCAAGGCATATTTACGAAGATTCTTGATAGTTACCAACTTAAACATCAATACACCTTTGTGTATTTCATCACTTTCAGTTTTCATTTATACTTACTAAAAGAATTCTCGAATTTAATAATCTTAGGCTGTCATGGAAGTTCAGACTTTGAGACCATCTTACTGGAAGTTCCTTTTAAGACTCACCAAGGGCAAGTAAGTGACTAAGCAGTTTTCTTAAAAATATTATTAGTGGTTTTATCTTTTGAGGGAATATTCTTTCAGTGGTAAAGTAGGTATTTATATATAAATAAAATATGAGCAACTTACTAAGAATAACATGGGGCGTTTTTTGAGTGATCATTATTCTGACCATTCTTTTCCCTGTATAATGTAGATATTTTAAGTGGTCTAGATTAATATCATGTTGATTTGCTAACTACTGATTAATTGCTACATAAATACTTAAGTCTGACTGTTTGAATCCTTAGCCATTTCTTTTTTATTAAAAATATTAAACAGATTCATTAAAGATCATCTCTACTTAATTAACTGATTTCCATTTTGGAAATAGTCATATTGCGTTGCTTCTTGTTGTAAGTATACTTTCCTCTACCTTATGTATCATTTTTGCTTTGTTTTGTTTTCTCCCCTGATCTTAATCTAATTCTTTGGGAGGCATTTTGACCTAATAGAGCATGGGTTTTAGAGTCAGGCAGACCTAAATTTGAGTCCAGCTCTGCTACCTTCAGCTGTGTTATTATGGAAAATTATTTACCCTCATGCGCGTAAGTTTTTTTCTGTCTACAATGAAACAATAATACATACATTGTATGGTTGTAGGAAAATTAAGATGCTTATAGTAGCACTGGGTAAATTGCACATATTACTATCATTACTAAGAATAATAGCAAATACTTGTATAGTGCTTACAGTGTCCAAGGTGTAGTTTTAAGAGGCACACATACAATATACACATATACATAAATATGCATTTAATCCTTAAATCCTAACTCTATGAGTTAGGTACTATTATTATCCCTGTTTTACATATGAGGAAGCCAAAATGTACAAAGGGGTTAGATAGCTTGCCAGAGTCACTCAGTTAGTAAATGAAGGAGCTGGAACATAAATCAGGCAGTCTGGCTTCAGAACTTTCCCTCTTACCCGTGTCACTGTAGATCCTTTATTTATTACTGTGTAATCATTTTTTGGTCATTTAGTTTTCTGCACATTAATGAGTTTTACTAGTTGATTATTTTGGAAGGGAACTTACTTTGGAAAAGTACTCAAAGTCACATTTATAAGCTGCCAGAATAATGCTGGCCAGTGATTCAAAACTAATTTCATTCAGCTGTTTTCTCCACAAAGGAAATAAGGAAATGCTTGTGAATAAGCACAGAGACCCAGAAGGTCTATCCTGTACATTAGCTAAATTTGTGTATTTGAAAAATGTTTTATATCTTAGGTTAGGTAATGGATAACATTAGGGTATGTTTTTACTGTGTTGTGTCTATTAGACATTTGAAAACCTGTATGCTGTTTGCCTTTTAGTCATTAAACATTCCCACATTTGAATGTGTTTTCATTTGATTATGAGACATTAAGATGTCAATTATGAGAGGAATTACATTTAATGCTTTTGCCTCACTGGTAATGTTAGCTCATTTATTGTTTAGTTTCCTGTGAATTCATTCATCATAAAAATAATAATGAACCTAATTTTCTATTTGATACAGTCTAGTAGAAAGAATTCTAGAAGGGTTTGAAATAATGATTGTAATCTCTGCGGTTTCAGATCTGGGGATTATCTCTTTAAGTAAAATGTGAGACGGTGTATCTCGAAGAAAAGCATTCATGTGACTTGAATCTGCCATTGAATTTAGATCCTTTGCCATGTTAGCCTTTTCTGTTTTCCCATCCCACAAAAGATAAGTCAACTAAAATGAATTATTTTATGAACTATATTAATACTTGGTTTACTGTATTTTTTGTTTTACAGATTTGCTGTCATGAACCGAAAAGTCCTTGATGTTTTTGGTACTGGTGCATCTAAACACTTTCAGGATTTCATCCCCAGGTTGGATCCAAGATACACAACTGTAACACCAGAGTTGCCCACAGAGTTTTCTTGAAGATGACTGTAATTTATTAATGTGACTAAATGTTTCATCTTGAAGAGTTAATTATGTTGAACACAAAGGAGGGGCCCAAGCTCGAACTTCAGTGTTATTTCAGTTAGAGATACTCTTTTCATTTGTGTTGTTTTTCTTATGAATCAGAAATTCAGAAGCTTTTTAGGAAGGTGTTGCTTAATAATTAAGCTTCCTCCATAGCCAGAATAAGATTCTGGATCACTGTAGTGATTGACATTATTATATATTATTGATCAAATTATGTCCATAAGCAATATTATATAATCTATGTAGAAGTGTAATAGCAAACAAGAGTACACTTAAAATTACTTTAAAAGATGTCTTTAGTTCATTCCAATATAATTCTTGATTAAAATTAGGATTATTTCTATGTTTTAGGATTTACAAAGGATCACGGGTACATGGATTTGGTCTGAATTTTTTTTTTAAGTTTGGAATTGGTATCTGTAGTAGTGGAATGTTATAGATTTGAAGTAACTCTCCACGGACAGTGCTGCTTTCATGTAGAGCAATTTAATTGGAGAAGTGGCCATTCTTACTTCAGGGATGCAAAGATGGGTCTCATACCATTTGGATAAATGTCGTGGTATCCATGCTTTTCTTTCAACTAATAACATCATCTCTCTTCATGACCAGTTAGTTGGGATATTTGGCAGCCTAGCAAACCTATGTACTAATGGCAGGTTAGGGGTAAATGGAAATGGATACATCCAACAGAGTTGAAATATATGTTTTAATCTTTCACAGAAGTATTACACTTGAATATTTAAAAACAAAACTTTTTTTTTTTTTTTTTTTGAGACGGGGTCTCGCTCTGTCGCCCAGGCAGGAGTGCAGTGGCCGGATCTCAGCTCACTGCAAGCTCCGCCTCCCGGGTTCACGCCATTCTCCTGCCTCAGCCTCCCATGTAGCTGGGATTACAGTCACCTGCCACCTTGCCCGGCTAGTTTTTTTTTTTTTTTTTGTATTTTTTAGTAGAGACGGGGTTTCACGTTGTTAGCCAGGATGGTCTCGATCTCCTGACCTCGTGATCCGCCTGTCTCGGCCTCCCAAAGTGCTGGGATTACAGGCTTGAGCCACCGCGCCCGGCCAAAAACAAAACTTTTAAACTTCCTATAGGTTTATTATGTTTGTTTTCATTTATATGGACATAATTCTTCATAGCACAGTTTATATGCCATTGTTGTGTTAGAAGGGATCAAAATCCTATGGAACAAAGTAGTCTTGGCAAGTTGGCAGTTTGTGTCCTCTCAGCTGTTTAACTTATGTAATGGATGTTTTGCACCTGAAAACACTATAAAAATCCAATGTTTGTTTAAAAAGTCCATTTTGTCACTAATTGGATTCAGGTTCTCCAGCCTTCTTCTTGAATATCATTGTCACCATTTTTACTGTTAGAATAAAGAGGTGACACCACAAAGTCCTGCTGATAATGAGAGTAGTTCAGGACAGCTGTGATTGAAATATGGTCACTATTTACAGTTTTTGGGAAAAGTTATACTTTTCTATGTTAATAAAAAGCTGAAGTGGTCTACAGTTAATGTAACATGTAGGGATGATGATATTTTTAAAATACATTTTGTTCCTAAAAACTTTTTAGGCCATTGCAAATTATGCAGTAGAACTTGTGTTGCAAAAGGAATTATAACCCACACTTTAAAAATGCTTAATCCCCCATATTCAATTTCATCAAGCCTTGTATACTTCTTAAATGTAATTCAATCCTTGGTTGTTATGGCAAATAGAAACCCAACAAAAAGACAGACTTGAGTACCATGGTAACAGAGCCACTTTATCATTTGGTCAAAATTTGGCATTATGATTAGCCTTTTAGAACTGACAGTGCTGTTTAGAATTGGCAATGCTGTTAAAAGATCATTTTGGTTTCAGACTTCAAAGTTGATTAATAAATTTAATCTTAACTTTTTATTCACTGGAATCAAAATGATGATTGGTACTATGTTTACTGTTTAAAATGAAGCACCGAGAGAGCACTGCTAACTGCACCTCATTTTCTTTATCCAGAAATTGTGCTTATATATTTTCCTGTCAGGTTAAAAAAGATGTTTTAATTCATAAATTATTGTTTTCATTGACACTAAAAGACTGTGATATTGAAAGACGAATTATGAAATTTGCTGAGATTGTTTAGTAAAATTTTGCTGGTCAAAAAGGTGTATTTCTGCAATTTACTTTTTCATTTTTATAAATTGCAGTCATTTTTCAAATTTTATATAAAATGTAAAATGAAATAGCTATCATGAAGCAGAACACAATGGTGAATGTATAGGTTGAGTGAATAGTTAACCAATTTGCAGTGGTGGATTGAGAAGTCCAGTTTGATTTCACTGGGACAGACTGCAAAGTGTAGTTGTTTGAGCAAACACAAAGACACTGTGTTTTTGAAGACAATCAGAATGATTACCTTTCTACCTCTAACTAATCAGGTATTGATTGACAACTTTTTGGCATTATAAATAAAGTAAAATAGATCTCTGCATTCCAAAACATGTTTTTTAGTTTATTTATATCCTGAAGAAATGGTAAGTTTTCACTGGAACTGATTACAGTAAACAATACTATGTCCCCTTAATCTTTCTGACATTTTTATGTAGATTAAGATTGAAAAACAGTGCATTTGGGGCAGTGGTATTATAGTCATTTCATTGCTATTTTCTGTTTTAATAAAATCCTAGAACTAGTACCAACCAAGTAAAGATTGAGTTTGCAAGATAACAGATTGTCTCAAATCTATTCAATTCTCAACAGTTTTTCACCAAATAATTTCAGGATCCATTTTATTAATGCATTTTTGAAGTAACACCTTTGGTTCAGTTATATTTTCTCATAAATTCTGCATTTGCTTCTGTAACTTTTTTCTTGAACTATAAGCATAGTCATCACTCAGTTGATATCTAGTTTATTTTTTGCCTTCGTTTGTTGTTTAGTCAGTTGTTATTTAATTTAGAATTTTATCTTTTTTTGGCTCTCAGATTTTATAATGAACTTTTATTAGAATGAACATGTATTTTTTTTTATGGAATCCAAACTGAGCAAATGTCACACAGTATTTTCTTGTGCTTGAGTGTTCATCTCCTTATAGATTTGTATCTAGGCTAACATTTCATTTAGTTGTTAATGCTGACAGAATTGTTTCCTGGTTATATTTTATTATATCCCTGAGCTTCTGCGTGCTCTACATTTCATAGGTACTGAGAAGCAATGTCCTTTACTCTCAAGGAGCTTCGTCCGCTTGCCTGTGTCACAACCTCTCCCTTGGTGCTAATTAGGAAGCTTCTTGTGGGGCTGAAGGGAAATGATCACTGGAGCAATGACCCAAATGTTGTTTTGGAGCAGATAAATTATTAACCCAGAGATTCCTTAAATTCTCCATGTGATTTAATTTTTATTTTTTAAGATGGGGTCTAGTTCCATTGCCCGGGTTGGAGTACAGTGGCGCAGTCGTAGCTCATTAAAACCTCAAATTCCTTGGCTCAAGCAATTCTTTCCCTTCAGTCTCTAATAGCTGGGACAACAGACATGTGCCACCATGCCTGGCTAATATTTAATTTTTTTTTTTTTTTTTTTTGGTAGAAACAAGGTGTTGCTATGTTGTCCAGGCTGCTCTTGAACTCCTGACCTCAAGTGACCCTCTTGGCTTGGCCTCCTAAAACTCTGGGATTCCAAGTGTGAGCCACAGTACCTAGCCATATTTTTATTTGTATGAGTAATAAGTAGTTTGACACAGCAACGAAGTTGTCCTTTGTTTCCCAAAGGCAAAAGTGTACATTTCTTGCTAAGATATCTTAAAAACATTCTGTCTCCTAATACCTCCTCCTCGTAATCATTTTCACATAGTCATACTTCACTCAGCTGAAACCGAGTGGCCAAGAAAAAAATACAAGAGAAGGAATAAGAAGTGAATATTTTCTTTAGGGCTGCACTTTGAATGTGATGAGTAATAAGGTTACCTTCATTGTGGAGGTGATGTTTGCCTCCAGCCCTTTACTGTTGGTGCTGAAGCCACTGTTGGTGCCAGCTCTATAATTTCTTCTTGAGGAATTAACAAAGAAAGGAGTGTCAAGGACCGAGATGACCCTCAGATTGGGGTGCTGTCTTGGATTCTACAGCTGTGTAGTACTGTGTTTCTGTTTAAAGTAGTAACCTCAGGTGACTTTGTAATAGCCCTGTAGTTGCAAAACGGGTAACTACAAAGAAATGAAACTGACTCTAGTGTGTGACTTCTGGAAACAGAAGTGAGGCAGTAAGTTGGCCATGATGTAGCTTGTGTCCTAGGACTGCAGCAGGGTAGTGAGTGAATGGCCTTAAGCTTACAGCTGTGGTGAATAAGAATGTGTGCTATTTTACACACAGAGAAAAATGATTGACTTTTGGTTGGAGGAAAGAATTTATATCTGGTCTTTTGGAAATGATTCTGTTGCTGTTTTATGTGGGCTCGCTCTCTCTCTCACTGCCCCCTCCTCCTACCACCTTGTCCATTCTCTGCTTGCTGGTGTTACTTTATGTTAACTATTCTCCTTGGACTTCATTGCAACCTTTTATGCCAGCCGTTGAAGTGAGAGGCTCTGAAGAGATCATAACGGTGATAACAATGGAGTAAACATTTCCAGGAATGCTGATTTTTTTATATGCTCTGTATTTCTTAGGCAGAATGATGTAGAAGATAATTGCACAGATATGGAAGGAGATTTTTCTCTGTATGTGAAGCCTTTAAATCCAGAACAATTAATTTCTTCTCTTCTTACAACCCCGTAACATCACTTGACTCTGGAATTTCCTATTTTCTTTTACTTTCTCCATTTTTTTTCCATCTGTCCCTCCTACAAATGTGTTTTACGTGAAATAATGTATTGAGTTTTATCTTTTCTCCCAGCAGACCTGAAAATCCCAGTATATTACCACAGATACACATACCATCTGGTCAACAACAGGGACATCAAGGCCAAGTGCAGTTTACACTTCTTTCTTTAGCTCACAAACTACTATAGCTTGCCTGTTCAGTTTCTTTTTTTAATGTTCAGTTTTGTGCCATACTCTCTCCCATCCCCAGCCTGCTGCCTCCTCAGAGCATAACATTCTAATCTTGTCAGACTGTGGGTAATAGGATGTTCCCTGGTCTTAGCATAGAGACCATAGGCATACAACATGCTTTTATCTGCCTTGCTTAGACTCAGCATCCCTTTCTGTCTTGAGAGGTTCAGGCTTCCACAAAGTAGACCTGTAGACCTATGTTGGCTGAGGTCACCCTTGCATTACTACTTTCCTCCATCTCTGAACTAGCACCGGTTAATTTTTGAAGTCTAGTTCTTCAACGTCTGTTAAACTTTTTCCAGTAGTTAATCAATCTCTTAAATTAATTTTCTTTTCAGATTATTTTTGGTCACCTAAGAGGACCCTGAAGCTATAGTGCCAAAGGCTGAAGTACATCCTGTGGTTGGTCATTATGGTATTGGATGCCAAAAGGAATGGGAGAGAAGAGACTATAAACACATTTCAAGCCTTATCTCTTTTCTCCTATTCCTTTCTTTACCTTCCCTGGCCCGTGCTTTCCTGCCGTATCTTTGCTATGTATTTCTTCATCTTGAGTTCTCAAGGGAAAAAACAGAAGTACTTATTTTTCTATTTATTTCAGGGAAAATTGAAGGTAAATAATATCTGCAAAACTTCAGGAAGAAATTCAGTTGCATCTGAATCTGAGTCTGCAGTTTTTGAGAGCCTCTCAATGCTCAGGGATAGCACTAAGGCTCTCTTCAGAAC